GCTCCATGAAAAGTTCCAAAATTTCCAATCCCTTTTCCCAAGTTACACTATTCAATTAAATCCAGTTCATTTAGTCCAACTCACCAAATATTTGTTGAGCTGAGCACTCTGTTTGAAGAGGACCTGGACACCACCCTTGGGAAATTCACAGGATGAGACAGATGATAAACAGCTCACTTCAGTCCAGAGTGGTGATCGCAAACGAGAAGGTTCCACACACCACAGCACTTCCAAGCCTCTGCCCTCCTGGAGTTATGGTTTGGAGGGAGAGCCAGATGCTGATCAGAAAATTGCACAAATCAAAATAGAATTTAAACTCCAACCAGTGCTCTGGAGACAAGGAAGGTGGTGCTGTGGGTTAATGTGGCATCTGGCCTGGGTATGTGTGTGGGGGGGGAGAGGTGTCAGAAGAGCATCTTCAAAGAAGATCTGAAAAATGGTTCAGGGTGAATTCACTGTAGAGTCGTGGAACCAAGGTCCAGGCACTGGAAGGTACATGCAGAGGAACTGGAGCAGGAGGGCCATAGTGTATCCAAGGGATCAAAGCAACACTGGTATGGCTAGATCACAAGGCTGGCAAAGGAGAGCAAGTGGCCAGGCCAGTGAGGTCAGGAGGGTCAGACCCCACCGTGGGAGTCTGGTTGACCTTGGCCTGCACTCCTGTGTGCTCATTTCCTCCTCTGTATAATGGGGGGTCTGAACAACACCTGCCTCGTAGTCCCTGTCTGCAAAGCACTCGGGACTATGCTGCTGGTGTTGGCTGCTGCTGTTGTCATTGAGATCCTTGTCATTTTCACCTGGGGACAAGGACCTGCCCAACCAGGTTGAATGTTACTTTTTAACAATTCACACTGGCTCTGTGGGCACAGTCCTATAGAGGTCTCAGAAACCACAGAAATTAGCATAAACTCCTGTCAAGGCAACCACTGGCTTTCTGGAGACATTCTGAATGAATGACCGGCAGGGCTGCTGACCACAGGACTCAAAAACAACCACCAAGAGTTTATCCCGAATACCCAGGGAAAAAAAAAAAACAAGACGGAGGAAGGAGGCCTGAGCCTCCGGAGAGAAGGCCATCTATAAATGGAAAATTACACTGAAGCAAAACAAATCTTATTTGATGTGAACCCATTTTTGACTCTGTCTGGAAATGCAGGGCTGAAGGAAGTGGAGGGGACAGGGAGTGAGCCGAGGTGCCCAGGATGAGGCTGCCTGACGGGGCTGGCGCAGACACGTGTGTGTGCTGTGACGGGGCCATGACAAAGGGCCACAGCCGGCTGCCAAGGTGGCCACTCCTCTGGCCAGATGCGGGTGGACCCAGGCACTCCTGGGGTGTCTGCACCGTGACACATGCCTGGGCAGCATGTGCTGACCGGCTGGCTGAGGGCAGGCAGGGCCCTAAAGAGGTATAAGAAATGTGGGAAGAAGCATGAGGAACCCTGGGGCACTTCTGTTCCCTCCAATGGGGCCATCAGTGTCATGGTCTCACAGGGCCATCATAGCATAGACTGGGACAACCCAGCCAGGAAGTGCCATAAATAACCAATCAGCACTCTTCATTTTTAATATTTTGAATTATAGATAGACAGAATACCTTTATTTTGTTTATTTATTTTTATGTGGTGCTGAGGATCAGACCTAGTGCCTCCCACATGCTAGGCCAGTGCTCTACCACTGAGCCACAACCCCAGCCTCCAATCAGCACTCTCCAGACCAGCTCAGAACCACCATACCCAAGGCTAGTATTTCTATTTCTACAGCCCTTCCACGCTAGAGGTTATTTCTGAACATCTTCGTGTCTCATATTTCTCACGATAAGAGAACTGTGACCTTTCCACTTAAATGGCCTTCACACTCCCACCCAGCAGGGAGAGGGGCAGGGACTGAAGCCAGGAGGCAGGTAAGAAATGACAGTGACTGGGAACATGGCTGTAGTGATGCAGAGGGAAGAACAGGCCAGGGTGGGGATCTATTTTGAAGCTAGAACTAATGAACTCGCTGAGAAATGGATTAGGCTAGGTGAAGAAGAGGGAGAGAGAAAACTGATTTTATTTGGGGGGGTGAGGCACTGGGAATATTTATAAGATTTGAAATATTTAGGAAGGAACATCTGGGGAGTTGGAAAGAGGGAATCAACAGGTCTGTTTGGGCCATAATAATTTTAAGATGAGCAGTGGACATCCAATGGAGATGTTCAGCAGGGGTGGGATGTAAGATCTGACTACATATGATTTTCCCAGGTTTACCCCTCTCACCCTTGGATTGAGATATGCTGGATTCCCAGTGAAATCTTCCAATTCTGGCTCTAAGTTTCCCCAACTCTGTACGTTGCCTAGGTGTGTCCTCTGCCCAGGGCACCTGCCAGTCTTGGCCTTTTGAGACCCTAATCATGACCCCTTCTTCCCAAATCTCCATCCTAAGTGATTTGTTCCTTGTGGGGGTGGGGGGGGCTTGTCTTGTTTGTGATGCTTGTCATATTTTCTTCACCCCAGGAGAGCTATTTCAATGCATTAACTCCTGTACTGGCTGCTAAATTCCTGGAGTGCAGGGCTCACAACCACCTACCTATTTACGTATTTTATTTTTACAATATCTTACATGGTATGCAGAAATGTGCTCAGCACAGAGAAGGCTACACATTCAATGTTGGATAAGGGAAGGATTAGGATATGATCTGACATGACTGAAAGGCTAATCTAGTCCCAGGTAGTCAAAGGTGGAAGGTTTTCTAAACCCTAGAGGAACTGGCAGTGGCTGTGTGTGGTTCTTTGGTGTAGAACCACCGAGCACAGTGCTCAGTCTCAACTCACCTACTTCTCCCTGCATAATTCATGTGCTCACTACAGAAACCTGTCTTTAGAAAGTCAGTAGTGTATGTTCTTTCCTAAGGGGGGGAAAAAAACTTCATATGCAGTGTTTTCATTGTCACTCTGTCACCCCACAATCAGGTTTTATAAGCCTGGACTTTGGGCCCTTTGCTTTCTGTGGATTCAGGCATTTGTGCTAGAGCACTGGATCCTGGTGTTGAGCCCCATTTGTTTTAGATCGATGCCTAATCTATAAGGCTGCATTAAGATTGGATTGATTTATTCTAACACACATTTTGCTTCATGGGGTATCAGATCACGGATGCGGAAGCGCGGAAGAAATAATGACAGGGTCAGGGCTGGGGTGGTGGCTCAGTGGTGGAGCGCTGGCCTAGCACATGTGAGGCACTGGGTTTGATCCTCAGCACCACATATAAATAAATAAAGGTATTGTGTCCACCTACATCTAAAAAAAAGAAATTAAAAAATAAAAACGATGACAGGGTCAGATATCAAGTCGGGGAGTCTTGGTATGCAAGCTGACAGACAAAGTGAATGGATACAATTAGAAATGAATAGTGACCATCCAGGGGGCTGGGGTGTGACCTGAGCTCAGGAGAGTGTGAGAGGCAAAAGAAGATTCCTGGACCAAGTAAGGGTTGGAGGCTAAGTGAAATGAACAAAGAAAGGAAAACATAAAGGGTGGGCTATAATGGGGGTTACTGAAGGCAGAGAGAAAAGAGCAGGGTCAATAACTGCAGTGTTGCTTATTGAGTGTTGGAAATGTGCCAGGCACTGGGATAAGGGCTTTGTGCAAATTGTCTTGTTTACTTATCCTGATGACCATGTGGTAGGTATTATTATTTTACTAATTTTACAACGAGGAACTTGGGGATCAGAGAGATTAAGCAAATTTCTCAGCGTTACAGAACTGGTAACTCTAAGAATTGGGATTTTGACCCAATTCTGTTGAATGCCAGAGACCAGGTTCTGCATCTTCGGCTATCGATGGATTCAGGGTCAGTCCTTCCACCAGGCCTGCTGCAGGCCGAAGAATGAAATGTCTCAGGACACCTCAAAGATCAAGGGAGATGAGCTAAGTTGGAAGTGCAGCTCAGAAGCCCAGCTCTGAGTGAGCTGCTTGCCAGGGCTGTGAGTGCTCAGGGCAGAGGTACTCTTCCATCACCAGGGAATACTCACCCCATTGTGTCGGGCCCCACCTAAATGTTTTTATATTGTCTGCCCTTTGCCATGAGTAATGCCACTTTCCATTTTAAGCGGGAGCTCCAGGAGATGACTGCATGAGGAGCCAGGATTTAACACTAACCTCTGCCTGGGGGATCACTCACCCACTTGTGGCCAACAGCACAGAATGCTGCTAAAAGAGCTTCTCCCCTGCCCGATCTTAAAGGAAATCTGGTTTCCCCCGGGATCCCAGTAGGAGCTGAGCCAGGATATCAGAAAGCTGGCTAGTTAACTGGTTTTCCACAGGAAACTACTGTCTTGCTCTGGTCCCCTGGTGTGTGCTAAGGTCTTGACTTGTTTGTTCATTTGGCCCTTGTTGAGGGCTTGCTGTGTGCCAGGCAGTCTGCTCTGCGGTGGAGATCCTGCCCAGGACGACACAGCCTTAGTTCTTGTCCTCACGAAGCTAACAGTCTAGGGGAACAAGCAGACACTAATAATAACATGTCACAACCAATAAATAAACGATATGAAATGGAAACCCAGGGAGTGTTGGGAACCACCAGCCAGAGGACTTAGGCCACACAGGTAGGAAGGCCAAGGAGGAGCTGGCTGGGTTTCTTCACTGTAAGCAACTGAAACTGACTCCTGAAAATTAGAGAATGCCATGTGGCTCGCAGAGTCACTGGGAAGGTCTGGTGGCCACAAATCACTCAGCATGAATGGTGTGTGTGTGTGTGTGTGTGTGTGTGTGTGTGTGTCTGTGAGGGGAGTGAGGGGGAGATAGGTGGAGTGGGTAACTCTCAAATATGTGGGGTGTGGCTTCAGATGCTGCGCAGTCAAGAAGATGACAAATGTCCAGAACAGCAGGTAGAAATTGGGAAGGTGGGGAGGAGAACGCTGTCTCAGGATGACGTAAGACATTCTGAGTCAGAGTAGCCAAGAGGAACAGCTTATAGAGAGCTCAGGATTACTGAGGCCAGCCAGCCCTGGTGCAGCAGGCTCCTGGGGCTTCTTGGGAGTGAAATTCACTACTCCACCAAAGGCTTTGCCACCTCTGCAGGAGACCAGCCAGGTAAGCAGGAACTTCTTCCTTTTTTTCCCCTGGGGCCAAAGGAGAGTCTCACCACACATCTGGAGATTACAGGGCCCAGGTAAATCAGAGAAATGTTCTTCACGTGCTGATTAGAAACGATGCCTGCTGGGGACATGTCAGCGGGATGGTGATTAGAGCTAGCCTTTCAGGCTTGTGCTACTACCATGAGCTCAGGTGGGGCATTTCATCTCTTCCTCATCATAAGCCTGTCAGTTTACAGATGAGCAGACTGAGGCACAAAGATGTTAAATGACTTGGCTGCAGTCCTGTGGTTAGCAAACCGTGGTTAGCAATGTAAATCTGCTTTACTGTAATGAGGAGCCTATCGACAGACAGGACAGGGCGCGGGTCAGATGAAGAAAAATGGTCACTGAGACGGCAAAAACACTCTTTTCTACACTAAGTTCATAAAAGGGGATCAGAAGCCTTATCCTTAGCTGTGCCCTCTCTCATGGGTACCATTGGAATCTTAAGGACAGTTTTTGTTCTCTACTGAGAAATTCCAAATCTTATCTGAGGGGAAAAGCCTTGTTTTCCTTAAGAAAGCCTTGTAAAAGCAGTAAATTAAAGTATTAACTCCCAGACTACAGCAAGGAGTATATATAGTATTTTAAAATTTATTATTTAAATAAAACTTCTCTGATTATATAAAAATACATGCTCTTCATAAAATATTGGAAAATAAAAAGAAGAAAACAAAAAACAAATTTAAGCTTACCATCCAGCGATGGTAGTTGTCATATTTTGGAGGGTGTATGGTAGTCCTTATGGTGAGTGCGTGCATGTGCGTGTGTGTGTAATTTTTGGTCTCTTTTCCTGATGCATATATGTTGATATTGCCTTTTAAAATCACAGTTCTTAGTATCTTAAATTGTTATTGTACCTGTTGAGTTCTTTTCTTTAAGGGAGAATTGTACTACAATATTTAAGTTTGCAAATCTACTAAATGAATCTCAATTAGTAGAATACATCATGATATGGAAACAAACTGAACCATTTGAATGAGTGGACAGAAGCCATGGGGGCTTTCTGGGTGCCTTGGATACTGTGCGTGGGAAGGTGCATGTCGTTTAATTAGGATTTGGGAGTTTGTTTTTGTTTTGTTTTATTTTGGTACCAGAGATTGAACTCAGGAGTGCTCAACCGCTGAGCCACATCCCCAGCCCTTTTTATTTACTATTTTGAGATAGGGTCTTGCTAAGTTGCCTAGGGCCTTGCTAAATTGCTGAGGCTGGCTTTGAACTCATGATTCTCCTGCTTCAACCTCTTAAGTTGCTGGGATTACAGTAACTGCACCTGGCAGGATTTGGTTTTTCATTATTTATGAATACTTCTAGCTGGTAAGCATTGCCTGAAAGATGTGTAGCATGATTAACCTAATCAAGCAACCATTTATTTATTAGGAGAGATTTACAACATAACCTATGATATGCATCACACTCAGTAATATTAGCTGACAAAAAGCAGAAGACTGGTGTCTAGGGCTAAGCTCCAAATGGAATGTCCATTGTGATCCCTTTTCCCCTTCACTGGCTTAGGGGACCCCACCTCTTCCCACAGCCCAGCCAAAAGCAGTGCAGGCAGGGATTCCACGTGGCCTTCCTAAGCCATTCCAAGCACCTCCTCGTGGATCCCACGTTCCTAGGGCAACACAAAGCCAGGTCTGTTCCCCCACTGCTGCTGCTGTCAATTCTTGGCATAACTGTGTGCCACCTACCTTCTGTCCTTTTTCCAAGCCATTAAGACAAAGTCCTCCAGATCAGAAGTCCTGTGTGTTCCTTCTTTGTAGCCCAGACATCTGTTTTATGTTGGGAGTTGAGGCCCATCCGGTGCTTGCAAGATGCAGCTGGATTTGCTGATGCAAACAAAGCTGCTGGGCTCTGAGTTTCCTGACCTTGAAATGGCCCCACAAACTATCCCATCAGGCCTGCACAAGGACTTCGCCCCCAGTCCAAGGGAACCGGAAAATGAACTTAATTTCAGTTAATTAGGTACAGCCAACAAGGGACCAGAGCACCTGGCTCTTTCTTTCCGTCTCTGCTCCCTGATAACCCTTCTCTGCCCCCTGGTAACCCTTCTCTCACCAGACCATTCCTTGTCCTGAAGTGAGATGTCACAGCCCAGGGCATCTACTGGGGGACCCAGGAAGTCGAGGGCTGACTGGCTCCTCTGACTGTGGTAGGTGCATGAACTTGTTCTTCCTAGAAAACCACTTCTGCTTTCCTCTGGCTTTTCTGTTTTGTTGTTCACATTTCACTAGATTTTCTTTTTACTTAAGAGAGTAAACATTTAAACAAATATCTATTTTAAAAGTCAATCATCTCCAATGCCACCTTTTGTTCTACTTTTTAGCTCCATGAAATTAACAAGGTTCTCGTTACATATTCCATGGGCAAACAAAAGCCGGCCGGATAGTAGTTTGCATGTTGAAAATACCTCCTAAACCTCGAAGTCGCTTAATTTCTCAGGATCTCAGTTTTGTACCTGAGGAATGAGAACGGGAGTAACAGCATATACACTGTGGTCACTTTTACAATAGATTAAGCAAGAGATAAGTGAAGTACTTAACAGAGTGCAAATAAATTAGATTTAATTAGCTATATATGTTTTGTTTTAAAATTACATTTACTTTTACAGCAACCGTCTGTCACAAGTGAGAACCAGTTTTATAACTTCAGTAGTGATCCAAATTTCCATCTGAAATGAATTTCAGTTTAAATACTAATTAAACTTTCAAAATATTCATTAAATAATGAGAAAATATATTCTAGATGCCTTTGACTAGATTATTCAGGACAAAACATTCTGCATATGGAGAAAATAAACTCTCTTAAAAACAAAGAAAGAAATAGCATAGAAAACATAAGAAGATAAGAAAATCCAAACAAACCCCAAATCACCCAACTAACCAAATGGCAAAAATCTCAGAGCAGACCTGGACATTCACAGCCTTGAGTAGCAGGGACAAAGCAAGATAAGTCGCAATGGCATTTTACCACCATCAAGACCCATAGAAATATAGGCAATTAATTCCCATTGCCCCCCAACTTTTTTTTTGCTCCCTACAACTTCCTTTTTTTATCCTGGCCAACCCCCAGTAGCAAATTTTGAAGCATTCCACGTTCTTGGTTGGATGAACCACCTAGTGTGGTTCAAAATTATCTTCTCCTTCCCTCACGTCAAAACTCTCTCTTTTTGTAAAAGGTTTGTCTCCAAAGTAAAACCCAGATATCCTCATTTTTTGAGGATATGAGCATCAATTAATATTCACTGAGCACATAAAAGTGTATGGCCAGAGGGCATGTCTACAGCGGGACAGCTGTGCCCAGACCCAATCCCTGCCCTCGAGGACTTGAAGGGTCATCAGGGAGCCCGAGCAGAGGATGCAAATAACTCTAATTGCAGGGTAGAATGTAGAGGCTGCCACAAACAGCTACAGCCAACATGCACAGGATGCCATGGAGGAAATGGATTTTGGCTTGGTAGGGATCAAGTCAGGTTCAGGATGGAGGCAGCAATGGTCCCTGAGAAGCATTTGTCCTATAAAAAGATTATGTTAACTCTTGCAGCCCCCTGCAACCCGTGGATCATCCTGAATGCCTTGCCCACTCTAGGGTAACAGCTGTTGTTTCTTCCAGCTCCTTCCCCATGAGGATCACAAAACCTCCTCCCCTGGCTGACACAGGCTTAGATGCATATGGCCTGCACCAGCCCCTGACCACACCTTGGCAAACTCCTGTTCACCCTCAAAGGCCCCAGCTCAAATGTCCTTGGAGAGCCCCACCCTTCTTTTTGACCACTTCCAGCTACTGGTGCAGTGTCCTCCTCCAGCCACCCCTCATTTCAAAGGAGATAGGGTCATTTGAACCATTTCAGTCTTCCTTCCTTCCTTCCTTCCTTCCTTCCTTCCTTCCTTCCTTCCTTCCTTCCTTCCTTCCTTCCTTTCTTTCTTCTTTCCACAGGGTGTCCCTAAGTTAACTGAGGCTGACCCCAAACTTGGATCCTCCTGCCTCAGTTTCCCAAGAAGTTAGGATTCTTGCCACCTTACCTGGCCATTCCAGATTTTCATATTCAACTGTTTGCTTTCTAAAATGTAATATCTCATTGGGTGAAGTGATGCATACCTATAATCCTAGCTACTCTGTTTCAAAATAAAAATTAAAAAGGTCTGGGGATATAGCTCAGTGGTAGAGCAACAATGGAATCAATCCTCAGTACTGGAAAAAAAAAAGAGAGAGAAAATGAAAAGAAAAAAAAAGAGTAATAGGAATAAAAAGACAGCAAAAGCAGGAAGCTGGCTTTTATTATTTGCCCCTGTGCTCTCAGAGCCTGTTCAATGATAGCATTTAATAAATTTTTTGAGTTAATTAATTAGTGATTATTATTATTATCTAGTTAAATCTTGTCTCTTCCCCAACCTTTTCATCTCTCTGTTAGGCCAGTTTGGTTTTGTGGGAGCTGGGAGGGTGTCAGTGACTTCAAAAAATAAATAGAATTAATTGCGTATTGATTCAATTAGTCAAAAATATTCACACTTTGGTTCAGTAAGATAATTGGAAAATTAGTATATTTGATGGGGCCTTGGTTCAGGAGGGGACCTGAGCCAGCATGTGTCTTTTCAGCAAAATTGACGTGCTACATGGGATGGGGCAGAATGTCGTTCCTCTCTGCCATAATCTTTTCTTTCAGTGAATATGTTTTTTTTTCTTAGCCTTATTAAAGTATAATTGACAAAAATAGTAAATGTATTCATGGTATACATCATGAAATGATTTCCTCAATCAACCTAATTAATATACCCCGAACCTCACATGGTTATTATGATATATGGTGAGGACATTGAAGATCTACTTTGTTAGCAGTTTTCAAATGTATAATACATTATTATCAATTATGACAACCATGCTATACAATAGACCTGCAGAATTTTTCTTTCTAACTGAAACTGTACCCTTGATCAGCATCTTTCCATTTCCACT